CTCTTTGCCTGTTGAACTTTGTGGCTGCTGAGACATGTCACAGACTTGTGAGGGCTTAGCAGCTCAAGCCAGGTGTGAGAGCCACAGAGGTGTATCACACCCTGCAATCCACCCACCAGCCTCGCGGGCAGCTCGTGCCTTGCCATAGGTGGGCTGAACACTCAAAGTTGTGTTTGCGGCAGAGTGCCCACTATCACGTACTGCATTCCCATGCTTCTGTCTGGGACTTATGGATGCACCAGATTTTGTGTAGGGGCACAAAGCTGCCAGTTTCATTCAAAATCCAAAAGGTCCTGCTCAGGCAAGACTCCCATGGGGCATCTAGATGCCCAAACATTTGAAAGTCTTGTGGCTGGGATCATGCTTGCAGGGTCTCCATCAACGCATCTGGTTTGAGTGGGATCCACAAGATGCAGCGTAGATGCTGCCCAGTCCCTGCCCATAAACAGAAGTTCATTGATGAGTATCAGGGCATAAAAGAACTGCAGCAGTGGTAAGTACCATGGTTTTATTGCAAACAGCGCAGTTAATACTTTCAAAAACAAATCTCAGGCTCAAAATTATACTCTCAGACTCTGAGCATTTTTCTGTCAATTCGGAGCTGCTGTGCATAGCCAGCATTTTGTTAAACCAAGCCGCATACTGAGAGGTGTCTTGATATTTCCTCTCCTTATGGGCCTGTTCTAGAAAGCCATGGCTCCTGAAACAGCAGAGGAGAAGGGGAGCGTTGACTCGCTGAAGCAGGCCTCGTACTAATTGGATCTCCCAGTAGGTCCCATCCTGTCTGCAGTCTTGGCGTAGTACCTCTGAACAAGGGACTGCTTTAGGAGCCCCGCTTTGCCAAGGCTCCAAGTAGCACTGGTGGCTGCTGCTAACTTTGCTTTAAGCAGAAATTTCACAGAGATCACACATGGGTGAGCAGGTTCAAAAAGAAAAAAAAAAAAAAAACCAAAAACAGGAGGTAGAACCTGAAAGATCAGGAAATTATGAGCAAATAGGGAACACAGGCAGGATTATTGCACACAAAGGGCAATAAACATATGGAAAAAATTAGGGGAGTAGGCAATGGAAGCAAAGCATGTAAATGAGTTCCACAGACACCTAGTTTTGTCGCTGAAGAAGGAGGGGATGGGGGAGGAGGATGGAAAAGTAGGAAGGTGGAATTAAAAGGGCCTTTTCCTGTTTCCATGGCCTTTTCTCATGGTTCTTATACTCTCCATATGCTTAGGTACTGCTGGGACCCCAGATCAATAAGCATGTGATATTTGTAGGTACCATATGTACAAGCATACCTAGGCACACAGTTTCTCTTGGTTTCCATCAAACGCCCGGCCCGCCTTCGAAGCATAGTATTAAGGTCTCTATCACGAATTAAAATATAAGTGTCTGAATTTCCCTGAAACCTTGAACTCTCAATTTTACTGTCCTCCTGAGAGGACAGGGGAGAGTATTGAAGTATCCAAAAAAATAGAAATCTGAAGAGAAAGAAATTCACAAAAGCATGTTCTGACTTGAAAGAGCAAAATACAGTATGCCTATTCATGGGAGGGGAGCAACAGATTTTATAATATTAAAAATAGCTTGGTCACAAGCTGGAGCTGCCAGAGGTAATCTTATAGCACTGGTTTTACTGACACTTTGATGTCTTACCCAGAATTTAACACTACATTATTCACTAAAAGGTTTGTTCCCACCACAGGACATGCAAACATCGCTGCTATTAGCATGAACAGGAGAGCCACATAAACGCAGCGGAGAGAATAGCCCCTTGTGCACATATACTTTTTACAATAATGCTGCAGAGTTAACTTTCGGGGTGGGGGGGGGGGTTCCCTTGAACCCCACCGGGTTCACTTGCGATGACGGGGTCGTAGCTTTGGCTCCCGGCCCCAGGGCCCTGCGCCGGGACTGAGGGGACATCGCCCCGTCAGCAGGACAGAGCAGAGGCGAGACAGAGCTGCCTGCTGCAGCAGAGAGGACACTAAATATAGGCAGGTTTTCTCCTGGGTTGTGCAGGCATTTTAATTTATCCTGGCGTTAATAAAGCATTTACTGTAGCCCAGGCAGCAGACGGGGCTGGGGAACAGCAGTGGTGGCTGCTGCAGACTGAAAGAGCTGGCCCAGGCTGTGTAAACTGAAGGTTTCTCATGCTCTGCAAAGAGTTTCATTTGAGCAATATAGAGAGGTAGGAGACCATCACAGACAACCTAATCCGTGACTCGCACAAGGGGGCCGAGGCTGCTGAACGCCACACCAGCCCTTCACAAAGGGAGCAGCACTTTGGCGTGCAGGAGGCTCCTCACCTGCAGCCCTCTCAGGGGCAGCGCTGGCACTGACCGCAAGGCTGGACCTGTGCCTTCTGCAATACAGGGGACCAGTGCTTCACATGGTCCAGTTAACGCAAGCCTCGCAGGTGGTACCTGTTTCCTTGCATATTCTTACTTTCTTTTGCTACTAGGTGAATTTGGGATAAAACACAGGAGATTTTACAATCCCCTTTGAATTGCATCTTTAAAAGGCAAACAGTGCAAAAGAAACACCCACCACCACCATTCAGGCACTGCAAATTCACACATCAAGCAGGAATTAAAGTTGAATGGGAAACCTCTATTCACACCTTTTGCATTTGCAATATCCTTATATTTAACTTCTGCATGTCTAGTTTATAACTATAGTCTATCTCCTGATATCAGCAATACAAGCACACAAGACTGGCACGTTAGTGGGATTTAGTTAAAGCAAATTTTATTCACTATTCCATCTATGGATACAGGCCAAATCCTCGTTTGCACCCAATAAACTAAAAAAACAATGACAAGGCACTTGTAGTTTGCGTCCTGAAAATTCACAACCTATTGCAAGCTCTTTTGTGTCTTCCTTTTATTCTGTACATCTATACCATGCTTATTTCCCCCAGTGCACTGGAAATCCTATACCACTCTACAGGGGGGAGCAGAGAAAAGTGGTTTACACCAGAGTTTGAAAGGCAAGAGGCTTGCATTTCTTTCCAGCTCTGTGTGGGGCGGGATGTTTGGCCTTGAACAACTCCTTTAACAACTCGGTGCTTTGATTCCCCTCTCACTAAAGGACTAACGTCAGCACTGTCCTACAAGCCTGAGATGGAGGTATCGTGCTCTGTAAATGCACAGCGCTCATATGGCTTTCGTTCCTGCTGGAACTGCTCTACTGACAAGCAAAACAGCAAAAGCTCCCGCTTCCTCCCTTCAAGGCTGCTCCTCACCCTAGATCCCAGACGGCCTGATCCCAAGGCCTTTTCCTGCTAACAAGAACTGCCCAAATAGAGGCTAATTTATGGGTAAGCCTTCTGAGGGGGGTCTGCGGGCCATACGTTTCCCAGGGAAATTGCTTCTGTCTTCGTAAGCCCCAGCACTGGTGAAGTTTATCAGCTCTCCTGTCTAAGTTGTATTATTACAATGTGAGGAGGAGGAGGAGGAGAAGCATGCTCAGCCGTGGTTGGGGTTAATCAAGTATCTTGGTGGACACTTTAATTGCCTAAAAACTCTGCCCAATCACTATGCAAAATGCCTAGCTAGAGGATCTTTTTTTAGGAGAGGAGAGGATATGTGCGCCTTCTGCTGCCTCAAAAGTAAATAATCATGGAAAACACCATCCTTTTTTCCCCTGTCTTCATTTCATACAATATCCTGTCCTGTGCTTAACAGTGGATAAAATAAAGCCCGATCTTAACAGGATTCCTGTTGAAAAATGAATGGATTGACTGAAACACCAAGTAACAGTGGAAAGAGAAATTACTTTTTTAGAGTAAAAACTCCTTCCTAACTTGATGGCCACTTCATAATTGGCAGAGGAGTCACTTTGGATTTCGTCACACTGTTACTAACACATCACTGTATCTCCAGGTGTCGACACTGTTGCGGAAGGTACAGCTAGATGCAGCCACAGCTCTACTTTCACAGTCAAGGGACCAGTGAAAATCACTAAATTCAGAGCCTGCCTATCTCCTAGCCCCAAGATGTCAAAAGTCCTAGGGGCAGGGACACCAGAATATAACCTTAGACCAACACGGAGAGATCTAGATAGACGCATTTAAGAGAGGACAGATATTTGTATCACCCACCCTACAATCAGTTTTCGGTAAAACCAAAAAGTAGCAAAGTCTCCCGGTAGCGAGACCCCCCTGACATCAGTGGGGCTGCCTAGCTAATTTCCTGGGAGACACACTGGGAAGGAAACAGGAGCAATTACAGAGCTCGGCCACCTTGTGCTCCACAAGTTAGGGCCTCAGGTGCCGGGGTGTTGGCAATACGCCCCTGCACCCCAGCAGCACGGAGGCTCCCGGGTGCATGGCTCCAGAAGCAATTTTCTCTCTCCAAGCAGGGCTGTAAGGGGCAGGTAAACACTGCAAGCCACCGCTCTCCCCTGACTTGCAGAGCCTCTCCTTGCCTAGCTGCCTTATCTGACTCACTCAGAACAAAATTTGGAGAAGAAGGACTGATCATGCCCTCACTTGCCTGGGAGGCATTGCTGAACCATCATCGGAAATGGCCTGATTGCTATGAACAAGGGGAAGCACATTTTGAAGAGGCCTAGGCAGGGATGCCAAGACATATCACGCTGCTCAGCTATGTTCAGAGTCCTTTTGTGGAAGTTCACAGGAGGCACTTAGGGACAGGACGAAGGGCAACGGTTGAGGAGCCACAGGTCTGTCCATCACTCAGAAGACCCTACGGAAAAGGCTGCCAGGATGCGTTCAGCCAGCAAGATTCTGGGTCTGAGGGAGGCCGTTGAGTTTAGGGACAAACAACCCCTTTGAGGAGCAGCCAGAGAAATGTGACACAGCCACAGAATAAACACAGCAGTAGATGCATGCAACCATTCCCACCCTGGACTCTGCCAGGGCGACAGCGAGGAGGGAATCTGAAGTGACAGTACTGCTTTCTCGCTCAACGAGGTGAATCCAGGACAGAGGCACAGCTTAAAATGTGACTTTCCCATCACTTTGTGTTCAAACCTTGCCGTTATTTAGAAGCAGGGTTGTGGGGTTTGCTTCCTTTCCTTGAGAATTTTTCCTTCTCATGAATTTTGTCGGTAAAACCAGACGAGAAGGATCTGTTGATAAGGGTGCAAGGAATGACATGGTGCCGCAGCAGCTCAACCTCTTTGTCCAGATCTCCAAATGCCGAGGCCTGGGAGCGGCTTTCCTAAAGTGAGGAATCCCCGCCAACTCAACGGGTGCAGACCGTCCCATGTATCATCATCTGCAGGATCCAGCTCTCTGGCATTATTAGATGCTCCCCTGACAAATGTAAGCTTGAATGGCATAGACTCAAAGTACACTTTTTGTCTTTATTTTCTAACTTATACTTAGAAACAGGCCAGTGAGTATTTTCGGTAAAATTTTCACCTGCTTCCAAGTCAGTTAGGCTGATCTTAAGATAAGGACATAGACACACAGGGATCAGATTTTTAAAGCACTGAAGTACCTGAAAGTGCAGAGAGACACCTAGCTGTTTCCCGTTGCTCTCAGTGCAGAAGAACTGGGCACAGACTAGTGAATTTAATCCCAGTATCTCTATACTGGGAAAATGTGAAGAACAAGCTGTAGATTACAGAAGGCACACAGTGCCTTTCGTTTCTCTGAAGTGTCAACAGCTTGCAAGTCATGTTTTGCAACTTAATCTTACACCAGACAGCCACGTGTGTTGGGGACAATCTTAGTACAGGAGACTGTGCTAATCAGTTATAATCAATTATATTCCTCAGACAACAGAGGCATGGTACTTGTGTACCTTGTTATGATCCCATCTCCTCCTACCTATTCCCTATGACAGAAGTAACAGAAGAGAGTGTAGGTCTCCCAGATCCCCGTCTGGTTCCCAGTCTCCCCACTGCCATCACCTTCATCCCTATCCCAGCACACCCACCAAGCCATCAAGCTGGCCAAGAGGTGAATGAGCAGCCACACTAAAAATGTGACTGTGCAGAACATGCCATGAGTGTTCACACTAATAAAAGTGAAATGTTGACGAGTTTGGGCCCTAAATATGTCAGCCTTTATTCTTATGGCTTAGCTAATCATTGTGTATAATGTTGGTTAAGAAAATTTACACTTCCCAGTGAATAATGTATAAACCAAGACTCACATGAGGGCAAATTTTTACAAAAAACACGTAAAATGCTTCAAAATTATGCTGGCAACAGAACTGCAACCAGCATGGCAATTAGACACAATGTTAATCAGATATGAGCAAAATGAACCAGAAGATTATTTTATTAGCCTGGGAAAGATGGTCAAGCTCCTTCCGGCTCTTATTTACCACTTCCTTTAAGGTGATGATGACAATAATTTTATTATTAGATTCAAATTCCTCCTGTTGTTTTTATCTCAAGACTCCAACTGGCTTTACAATAGGGTAGTTACTTAAGTCACTCTCTCAAGGAATTAATTGTGTACAAAGCTGCTGCTGCACTGAATTGCTTTTATTTTCAAATCCATCTGCCTGTTGCTATTTTTAATGTACTCATCCTGATGAGAACTGCACCCACACCGCCACACTGTGCCTCACACAAAGGGAACTAAGGAAATACACCTCAGCTTCTCCAAAATCAGTGTTCTAGGCTGTGAGCTTCACTTAAAGACTGTCTTCAGGAGACAGGCAGGGCACTGTGGGCACCCTCATAGCTTCCTGCTCAGCTCCTAAATCTCTTGGGCACTCTACCACAAAGAAAGCCATCATGGTGTCGGGGCTGCCTCGCAGCACACGGGATGCTTGAAGCCCTGTCTGAAGTAGGGCTTCTCCCTTCGCCCTGGTAGCATATCTTTGATCAGCCCGCTGCAGGAGCCTGCACGCCCTGGAGGGATGCAGAGCTGCGTCCATTCCAGGGAATGTGTGGGGAGCACCCCAGCGATGCCAAATATTGGTGTTCAGCTCCCCCGGGGGCACTAACTAAAGACCACTGTGGGATTAAGTAGCGCGAACCTACACCTGCAAGTGGGAAAACGAGCTACGGCGTCCCTCCCTCTCCAGTCCTGCCAGTGCTCCCTGCAAAGGGTGGTGGGATCGCTCTGCAGGTGTTCGCTGAAAACAGCACATAAATGTTTCAAACACCGCTGCATAGGTGTCACTCCAAAGCCATAAAGAAAACAGAAGGTGGAGAGCCCCAGCTCGAGCCCTCAAGTATCAGATATTCTTCTCCCACCTATACGATTTTACAGGCTGAGGAGTGATGTCAGCTGAAACCTCCGTTTGACAGCTTTTCCTCAAAAACTCGGCGTAAAACCAGCCTCAGAAGTGTTAGTGATGTTGCCTGGAGAAGACCTCTTGGATTTACGGGCAGTAATTAATACTTAACCTTTAGCTCCAGTGAGGCAGCTGTGCGGCGGGGTTAGTAGGAGTCACCGTGTTGGTAAACGATAATTGCACTGCACATACAGACCTGAGCTGAGCACCCTACAATTATGGGGGAAGGTTTCCTGGGCCTCTTGCAAAGGCCCTCAGGTTAGGAAGGTCTCCCCAGGCAAGCTGGAAAGACCCTTCTTCTCTCTGTGAGACAGACTCTAAGGCCAGGGTGGCCTGGGCAGCTGAAGCCTCTGAGGACAAGGCACCGACAGCACCTAAGAAAGAAGGATCCATCAGGCCATCCATGTCCTGCTGGCAGCAAGAGTGGGGGGTGCTCTCTGCTGTGTCTTTATATATTCAATACCTTGAGGCACTCAGAGTTGGTCCATCAGACCAGTTGATGGGAGATAAATGGGACACTGAGCTCAGGTGTACTGTCCTCCCTTGTAATTGCCATAGGAGAAGAACTGCTCCCCTCTCTCTCCATTTTGACTGCCAATTATGTCCCTGCTCTGGGGTGGGGACCGGTGGAGACCATCCGTAGGTCTCCTCAACTGCTTTGGCTGAAGGAACCCCTTCCCATCGCTTGCCACGCTGGTGGATGGGAATACCTTGGGTGCAGCCCAAGATGCCTGCAAGCACCAAGGAAGTCTCCTGCAAAGATGCAAAAGGGTTTATGGAGAGCAGTGACGCTGATGACTCTTCACAGAAGACCTGTCTTCTTGACACCTGGCCAAGTCTGGCTCCTCTGGAAATAAAATAAACAAGCATTAAAAGAGGCTGTCTTCCATATGAGCCAAGGAAAAGACGGTTTGCCTACTGTTAAACATCAGTAATACCAGCCAAACATCAATACCAGCAAAACATCACTATGGATATTTATAAGGGGCCAAATCACAAAGTCCTGAAGTCATTCATGAGTCATGGCTGCAGAGGCTTCATCTGACCTCTCTCATACTGCAGGCTGTCGTGTTTTACCGCGTTACCTCTGTATTGAGCCCAGTCACTTGGATTAGACTCAGTCACATCTTCTGTGCTGACATCTACTCTTCTGCCAAAATACAGCGAGGAACGGACCCGCTGCGCTGCCCTCAGTGGCTTATTCAAATGGTTAATCGCCTGCATGTGCCTTACCTCGCATTTGAATTTGCCTGGCTCCAGCTTCTGGTCTCCAGTTTTGGAGAAGGTCCCTTCTGTGCAAGGTATTTTCTCCCCGGGGAGGTATTGTCATGCAGGGCACTTGTTGCTCACCGCAGGCTTCCCCTCCCAGCTGGTGGCACCAGCCCCAAAGGCAGAAGCCAAGTCACAACCTGACACCAAGTGAACACCTCGGCTCTATTTGAATGGAAGGGCTGTCCAAGTGGCCTCCAAAAAAAAGGCTTGCAGGGCTCTGCCGTATTTGTTTTAGTCCCCCTTTGCTGTCTGGGGGAAGGGGAAAGGAGAGGACGAGAGCCCCTCAGCCCCCTTCTCCCAGCCCTTCCAGCCCTGGCCGGGCGTGCATCCGTCCCACCCTCGCCCCTGCACCGGCTTTCGGCTCCCCTGGAGCTGAAGAGCGAATAAGACCTCTCGGATCTGGCCTCTAAGCTGATAATTGCAACCCCTTCACTGGCACAAGGCGGCTCTCATGCCATTTTGACCCAAACTATGTCTTCTTTCTGTATATTTTTAATTAGTCTCAAGAATGCAGAAAAACCAGCGTGAGATCCTTTCATTCCCCTTTGTTTAATATCTGTTATTATGACATTAAGTGTAGGGTTTTGTTGTGGTGGAGAGTTCAAAATCCCCCTTGGTTCTGCTGCTGTAGCCATGGGTTCGTGTACATTAAAGTGGTCATTTTCGGATTAGCTCTTGCTTTCCCTTTGATGCATATGAAACGCTGAGCCAGTTGGTTGGAGAAGGCATTTTACCTCTTTTGTTGCCCTTCCTCGCAACCAACGGCAGGGAGAGGACGAAAGCCCCCTGGCTCTCTCTTTAAATCAGAAAGGAATTTCCAAAGGGTTTAAAGCTTTAGTTGCCACTTCTGTCTGGGGTTGCCTGACCAAAAATAGATGGAGTTTGTTTTCAAAGGAGCAGGCGACGAGGAGCCTCTTATTTGCTGCTGCTGTCGTCGCTCATGCGCCTGTTCCCTGGGAATTCAGGAGTCCCGAGAGCAGAACCGGGGCTGAGCAGTGTGACACAGCTCAAAACTTTTCTCCCCGGGATACACGTGTTTTAGTAGTGAGAATCAGCATTTTGGGGCAATCAAAGTATTTTTTTTTCCCTCGTCTCTTCCTTTTTTGTCTTTTTTTCCCTTTTCTTTTTGATTTGGCAGTTAATGGGAAGCAGAACAAAGGTTTGATTGAACAAACGCTAGATTTCACTTATGCCTCACATTACACCGACAGCCCTATGATTTCTTTCCATCTGCTTAAGACCTACACTCTGCACGGTTATTTCTGTGGGATGTCTGATATTTTTTTCCGAGGAGAGAGCATTTTCCAGCCTTGAGCCCTTCCCAGCTCAACCATTCATATCATTACAACTAATCATAAGGGCTCTCGGTTAAAATAAAATTGAGTCCATCGGAAAAAAGTAGGAAAAAAAGAGTTAATTAGAAAAAAACCAAATAGACACGCACAACTTTTCTGCCATCCTAGAGATCATCCCAAATATCCGTGCGAAAGTCGGGCAAACGGGGGGAGGGGGGGCTAGAAGGTCAGGGGGGAAGGGGGTGTTTATGTCAACACCGCTCGGTGATGGAATAATGCGCCCCAACGTGAAGTCACAGCCGCGGGGCATGTGAAGTCACAACTTCTCCAGGTGGCAGGTGCTGCAGCAATTCAGATGCGAGGGAGCCGCTCCCCTCCCGCCCCCGCCAAAGGCATCGATAACCGGGGAGCGGGGGCTGCCCCTGCGGACGCGGCTCCTCCGCTTTACACACAAAAAGGGAAGCGGCGCTCATGAAATATTCCTGATCCACCAGAATTATTTTTACCTTGGGAAACCTGCTTCCTTCTTTTTTTCTTTTCTTTTTTTTTTAGGCACTAATACGTGCCTAATCAGCGAGATACGTTTTAATTTAAAAGCCAATAGTCTGCAGCTGAACTACACTACAGAAATCCGATGTAAGGATAATTTGGAGTATTCAAAACCGCTGAGTCAGCGGCGGAGCCCATCTCCATGGCTAGAATATTGTTTCTAACTCCCGCTGCTGTGTTTCACTTACTGTTATACCGATTGTATCGTGTAATTATTGTTTGTTTTCCAAAAATGTAATTACTTTTTTTTTCTTTGTTTCCTTTGCAACGTTAAATCTGCCAAATGCCTGACTAAGGCAGCTCCAGAAAATAAAAAGAAGGAAAAAAAAATTAAAAAGCTAATGACAGGGGAGGAGGTCTCTTTCTCTCTCTTTAGCCAAAGATTTTCTCTCTCGGGCACCTTCTTGCGTCGACGATTTAATAAAAATACCGGCACGTGTAGAACAAAACCTTTGGAAACGCCCAGCCCGGTTCGAGGAAGGCGTCGGCTCCCGGGCAGCCCCACGCGTTTCTCGGGTGGCTTTCCCTCCT